TTGGCATCTCCTTCCCCTCTCTCCAGCCTCCAGGTAGGACTGGCAGGGCTTTGGCTGTGAACACGCCAGGACTCACTGAGCAGCCTCTGCTCCTCCAGATGAAGGCATCCTCTTGGTCCTGATGATGGCATCCTACAGGGAGGACATCTCTCAAGGAGCCAGGAAAGTCCCCAAGACGCTGAGGGTATAGTGATAGCTTCACCTGTCTCTGGCCAAATGTTGTGGGGCAGTTCACTCCCCACTACGGCCTTGACTTTCTCATCTGGGAAATGTCTATCATCGAGGTTGCCAGTTGCAAGCAACAGAAGCTGACGATGTTAGTTCCCAGAAGCAGATGGCATGGGTGCTCTTGTGGTGCCCTATCAAAGCCCCTCACACTGGGGGGCTTAACAGAAATGTAGTCTTTCAAAGATTTGAAGGCCAGAAGTCGGAAATCAAGGTGCCAGTAGGTTGGGGCCTTCTGCAGGCTGTGAGGAAGAATCTGTTCCACGTTTTTCTCCTAACTTTTGGTAGCTCCTGGCAATCGACAAGCCAGGCGTTTCTTGGCTTGTAGACGTTATCACGCCAACCTCTGCCTTCGTCTTCACTTGGCCTTCTCTCTTTGTGTCTGTTTCTGTATCTCTCCTCTTCTTATAAGCTCACCTGCCATATTGGAATAAGGGCTCACCTGACTCTAATATGTCATTTAAACTAATTACTATTTCCAAATATGGCCACATTCACAGATAACAGGAATTAGAATTTGAACGTATCTTTTGAGGAGGACAAAAATTAAACCCCAAACATAGATGTGAGACTAGGATTTTAGTACAGGGAGTATATTTGGGAGACATCTCTAGAAGCTCCAGCAGGTGGGGACGTGAGAAAGGGTGGGGTCCATCCAGGGAGTGTTAACGGGCAGGTATCTGCCACGAGCACCTGGAGCTCAAACCCAAGGGGAAGCTCTGAGAAACTGTGTAGAACGCTCTTCAGAGGTGTCCTGCCCAAAGCTGGGCTGTGTGCTCCACTTGCTCCCATGGTATGAACCCCCGAGCACCCTGGCCTGGCCTGCGTGTGGCTGAGTGGGCTCTTGTAGGCAGAGATAGCCTGCCGGCAGGCAGGCACCAACATTTACTGGAAGAAGGTGTAGATGTTGGAACTCAGGGGATGATAAGAGTGGAGAGGGGTATGCACAGCTCCAGGCCATCTGCCTCTTCTACTCTTGCTACTTTGCAAAAAATAAGAGCTGCGTTAGAAGGCCCTTGAGCTCACAGAAATAACAAGGGGAAGGAGAATCAGCTTGGAGAGGCTGAGGAATGCGAATCATATAGGCTACCTGGTCCTGCAGGGCTTTTGTGCTCATCACCAAAAGACGCAGCTCTGGGCTGGCTAAGGGCAAAGGGGTGTCCTGTCGGCAAGATGCATGACAAAGAGTCCCCCCTTGCTGCTGGATGCTGCAGCCCCTCACTGTCCTCTCAGCTGGGCATGCACTTCTGGGCGGGGTGCAAAGTGCGCAACCACTTCCAGCTGCCTTGGATGGGAGCTTAGGGGGCAAAACAGACCCATAGCCCAGCCACAGCGACACACCGGGACCATCAGGCCACCTGGTCCCCTCACCTGGTAGATGTGCTGAGAGGATCCTGAGAGTTAACGCATGGCGACGAACCCTTGGCCTGACACACAGGAAACTGTCCTTATGAGTTTCATCAAATGCCAGGAGAGAGAAACCCCAAACCCCAGCTCCGCAGAACTGACCCTGCTCTTCCCGAAAAGGCCACTGGGCTATTTACAAACATTCTGCTTCTGTCTTATCCAGCTTCATAAATATTTGCTTCTGCTTTTTATTTTGTTTTGAATAGTGCACATGTGGAGAACGTGGCTCTGTGCCGGGCACGGAGCTGAAGGCTCTCCGTGGTCTTTTCATTGGACTGCAAAGAAGGTACTCCAACACTGCAGACAGGCAACAGGCTCAGAGAGGAGAAGCCTTCTCCTTACAAGCCCCTCAGAGGGCCTCCCATGGGAGTAGAAGGCAGCGTCATCCTCTCTGGCACTGTTTGTGAGTCCCCGGGCTGTACCGTACACAGTCTTCATTCAGGAAATTCCCTGGGGCCCATTGCCCGCTCTGCAGAGGGACGGGGCTCTGGGAAGGTGAGAAGCAAGGGCCTGATACAGGGAGCAGGCGGCCATGTACCGGGTAACAAGCCGCTCTTAGGTGCAGCCTGAGACAGGTGCCAGTGTCCATGGGCTGAAACTCCCACTGTGGCTGATTTCCAGCTACAGATGGGAGGGCGTGGGATGAGGAGGTGGGAAGAGGTGTGCAATGGCGCCTCAACACCTGGTATTTTCCATCATACAGATACCAGAGACATAAGTAACGTCAAGCGCAGAAGACTAGTGAGATGTAGCAAAATCAGTAGGAAGTGATACATTTCTAATAAGGAGCACTTCTTTCCTTTCTCATCTAAATCACATAATTATAAGTTTCTATGGTTTAACTTATAGTAAGGGCTGTGTTTAACTCTCTGAGTGGGTCCAGCCTGGCTCCAGCATGCTACCGGACACCTGGCCTCACCCTACCCTAACCTGCCCCACGGCACCCAAGGGTCCAGGGCTAAGGCTGAAGACCTGACTCAGCTTGGGGTGGGGGCCGCATGGGGGAAGTCTTACCTCTTAGTGTGTGGAGGTAGCTGCCTAGCACTCCTAAATTCCCTGTTGGATAGTTGCCTGGAAGTTATAATCAGAATTGAAAGGGCCCTGCAGGGCATCTAGTCCTTTGCCTTCATTTCTCAGGTAAGGAATGACCTGAGGACCCGTGAGGGACAATGAGTGGCCCAAGGCTGCATAGCTTATTAGAGACGCTGAGATGAATTCCTGGGCCTGCCACCTCCCTGCCCAGTCTTCCTATTTTCTGAGCCACAAGTCAATAGCCTGTCGTTCCCCAGGGGCTTTCCCTGAGGCAGGTTCTTGGCACAAACCCTTCCCATATCTAGGTGCTGGGAAGGGATGCTGCTTGCTGTCTGTTGATAACCGGGAAAAGTTCCAACCCAGCGAGGGGCACATTTGAAACACTTGCACCTGACAAGTGGTGGCTGGAAGCAATTCGGTTTCTGAAGCCCACCCAGGCCTGTGTTTTTAAAGAGACTCCCCCCACCCCCCTTGCACATCATCCCCAACCCAACCCCCAGCCTCCCATTCCTCCTAGTGAGATGTCACAGTGTCTGTTCCTACTACACCCCAGGACAAAATAGGGATAAGACCAGATGATGTATTGAAAATCTGGTCCTGGAACCAAAGTGCTAAATTACCTGGGAGAACTAAATTGACGTGTTGGGCCAGCAAAGAGCACGAAGCATTCAAACCTGAGAAGCCCTCTACCATAGCAAAGACTGCCCTCTCAGGAGCCCTCACATGCATTGTTTCTGCTTCTATGCCTCAGCCCACACTGAGTCTTTCCCCAGGAATGTTCTTCCTCTTCCTAATTCTTAATAGTTCTTCAAGATCTGGCCAGGTATTGTCTCCCCCAGGAAGGCTTCTGTGACTACTTCCAAATACCTACCATCATTTCACTCACTATTACTCTTTTTCACAAGCAGTGGCCTCCTGCCTGACCTGTAGAATGTGAGCCCTGGAGGCTGAGATTAGCCTCAATACAGTTTTATGCACCCAACCAAGCCTGGGTTCATTAAACAGCTCCCTCGCCCACATCACTACCTGGCAAACTCCTATTCATCCTTCAAAGCCCCAGGTTGAATACCCCCAACCCTGGAAAAACCCTTCCTGGCTCTCCTGGGGCAGAGCTGCATACATTTGTCTGTGCTTCCATTGCATTTGCTTATAATTTCCCTACAAGAATGTGCTGGGTGCTAACTTAATCCCAGGCACCTGCCAATGCAGCAAGAACACTACGTTGAATGAGACAGAACCGGCTGCACCCTGAGCAACTTATGTTCCACTTGGAGAGACAAGCACCAACCCATATCACAGCTATTTAATTAAATAAATTAATTACTTTTATAATTATAAATAAATCAGTCCCCCGATGTACAGACCACTTGCTATGCATTAAGTGTTTTATGCATAGTGAGTCACTTAATGCTTACATATATGCTGAGAGTGCTGGTGTTATCTCCTTGACTCTTCTGTGCCTCTGTGCTCCCTGAGGGGTGGGGGGACTTAAAATTTCACCCTCTTCCCCACTCCCACCCTGTCTCCTAGTCCCTTTCCTGCTTTTTGTCTCCCCTCAGCACTTGTTGCCAAACACATTATGTTTTCTTTTAATTTCTCCCTTATTCTTTGCCTCTCCTACAGTAACATGAATTCTCCAAGGCAGGTATCTGATGTCTGTATCCCCACAGACTAGAATGGTGCCTGATAAACAGTGGCGATCAAACACATTTGCTGAAAGGAATGCATCAGTCTGTCTTTTTCAGATGAGTATATGAGATCACTGGTGCTCAGAGACACCAAACAAGTTAGCCCAAGTCACACAGCGGGTGAGCAGCAGAGCCTGGCTCCAGGGTGCATGCTTTGTCATGCCATTCCTTTGTACTGCCATCACCTGTCACCTGACTGCCTCCCCCACTCAAACATCTCATCCTTGAGGGTGGGAGCTGGTGTCTCCATCTTGGACTCAGAACCTCACACAGTGCCTGGTTAAGAGGAGTTTCTGCTAAATGTTTACTAAATGAGTAAATGACCACGGGAATATATAATCATATCGCATAAACATTTGGTTATTGATTGCTGAGACACAACACTCAGTTTTTAAGTCTTTGGACTCAGGTGCTGTTTGTCAGGAGAAAGCATACTTTGGCAAGCAAAAGCATGTCACAGTCCCCTTGCACATTCCAGGAAAAGAGCCTTTTGAGAGCATGAGTTCCATCCGTCTACCACCCGACTTTGACACATGCAGATAAAGAAAGAAGCCTGCCCTGCCTGCATATAAGGGAGCACTTACAGAATGTACACCCAGTATCTGGGGATTGCCCATCTCCTCCCAGCCTCCCCACCCCAGCACTTACGTGGGACTTCTCAGCCAGCCTCATGTGCGATGCCCGTTTCCAGATATTCTTGGCAGAACTGACTTCGAGGAGAAGCAGCAGAAAGCAGAGAGTCCAGAGGACATTCCTTCCTCCGCTAACCATCCTGCAGCTGGTAGAAGGCATTTCTTTCCAGATGTTCAGAGAAGAGGAGCCCTCTCGCCGTGCGGGTCCTATGAGTGAGGAGCAGAAGTGTGCACCGTCTGCCAGACTGTCTTAGCTCCACTCAGCTGGGTCCCTGGGATCATGTGTCCACGCCTAGCACATGCCCCCACCCCAGCCCCCACCCTGATGGTGGCCAGCCTGCATGGTTATTTTTAGCTTGCCCTATAACATCTGGCCCCAGAGACTCCAACTAGGCAGTTCAGATGGTAGCGGCGGGCGGCAGGAAGAGGGGGCTCCCAGTCTTGCTTGGAGACGTGGCTGGGAGTGGCCCGGTCACACTAGGATGATGAGCACTTCCTCGAAGGCTGAGGCAGTCTCTCCTTGAGGAGGTGCGCTGGCTTCAGGGCTGGGAGGCTGGGGGCCGGGTGGGGGTGGGCACACAGGGGGACCAGTACAGCGGGATGGGTGGGGATTCCAGCTGCTACCTCATCCAAGTTTTCAGCTAGGCTGAGGAACTCTGTCCATAAAAGCTTCTTTGGAAGACGTGGCTGAAGGAGGACTGGCTGAGTGCGTGGCTGTGGGGCGATGACTCACGCCCTTAAACCCTGCTACTCCTCTCTAATGTGGGCATGTGGGCAGTTAGTCACGTTGTGTATTTCTCGAGAGAGTTCAATGAAATTGTGCATGTGAAGCGTTTCACATACATCATAAGTGTGCTATAAATGTCAGCGTGTGTATGTTTTATATAGGGGTCAATATTTCACAAACTTGGAATTCTGTCACCTGTTCTCAGCAACCCCAACACAGGTATACTGTTGTGATGCCCATTTCACAGATGGGGAGACAGAGCTACACTACTTGCCTGATGTCAGGCAGCAGGTAGCAGAGCTAGGGCTCGACCCCAGGCCCATGTGACTGCTGCGACACCCCACTGGGTGAAGAGGAAGGGACCCAACCTCCAGGTTCAGATGCACCTGAGCCAAGTCCCAGCTCAGCCTCTCTCTGTGTGATGCTGAGAAAGCTGCTTCTGCTTGCTGCCCCTCAGTTCTTTCCTCTGGGACACTAAGTTTGTGATCATTTGTTACAGTGGCAGTAGGGAGCCCATACGCCTGAAGTGGGGTGTTGGCTCTGCAAAGTCAAGTATCTGCACCCCTCTTACTGCCTGTACCCCCACTCCTTGCACAGGGCCTGGCCTGCATCAGCGCTCCAAAGTGCTTTCCTCACTACATGGCATGGGGCTTGGCACACAGTAGGTGCTCAATAGATGTTCTTCAATTGAGATATCAGTTCCAAAGCAGTATTTGGAGCAGAGGGACCCAGGGTGCGAAGCTGTGACCCGTCAGTTAATTTCTTGCAAATATTAACTTATAAAAATGACCCTTCAAAGTCTTTAGGACAGCGAGGGTGACTTCTCCAGGAACACTGCAGCACTGCAGGTTTCATGTGGAAGGAGAAACGTCTCCAAGGAGAGAAATTAACCTGGAACAAATTTCCTAGGGAAAGCAGCAGTTTTCTTTTGATCAGGGACAGGCAGGGTCTGACCTGACAGCCAGCCTGGGCGCTCCCAGTGGGGACCAAGAGGGCAGCCAGGGCCTGCCCCCCCCCCCCCGCATGATTTCAGGGCTGGCAACTCCTCCCAGGTTCCTGCCAAGCCTCAGAACTTTATGTTCCAAGTGGCAGAGGTCCTTCTAGTTTATCTGAGCTCTAGTGACCTGGACTTGATCCCAAGCTTCGTGGGCTGTCCTCCTGGGACTTACCAACCTGTGAATGTGGCTTCCTGTAGATCTGTGGGCGAGGTTTCCTCTGGAAAAGCCTTGAAGCTGCCGAGGGCTTTCATTTCCTCAGCTCTGAGGGTCCTGCTGGTGAGGCTTGCCTGCTGGGGCCTGACAGCTGCTGCCTGCCGAAGGCTTCCTGCCCTCCGAAAAGGGAGGAAAGTGTCTCTTTGAAAAATATAAAGGGCACACGTGTTTAGGGGTCTCACTCTAAGGAGCAAAGGACATGGCACACAGACATAGGGTCTAGGAAGAAATCCTGCCTGTTTACTCCTGATAAACCCCCCGCCCCCATCACTGAGGCTTCATGTTCCTTCCCTAGGAGGCAAAACATTTTCTTCCATGGTGATCAGAGCAGAGCTCTAGGAAAGGGGGACAGGGTGGCACATTAATTCACACTTCATACTATATAGTATGAGTGACTTCCAGCAGAAAGAAACATATCAGCAAAATAAGGAGGAGCCGAGTTCATTCATTCATTCATTCAAACATTTGAGTGCCTACTATGTGCCAGGCCTGGAGATACCAGAGAGAGTAAAACCAGGCTCCGCCCCTGTACCTATGGGGTTTACTGCCAAGTGGAGGAGTCAGATATTAATCAAACAGTGTTTTTATTATAATAAACACTTTTGGGTGCCAGACATGGTTTCGAGTGTTTTAAAAATATTTACTCATTTAATCTATCACAAGTCTGCTAGTTAAGCACTGTCATCATTTCCATTTTAGAGATAAGGAAACTGAGTCTCGGAGAGATTAACAGCAGAGTGCCTGAAAACTATTTATTTACATAATCTATCAAAACTGTTAGGTAGGTACTCTTACTATTCCCATTTCACAGACAGGGAAACTGAGGGTCAGAGAGATAAACAACCTGCCCAGCCATACACAGCCGATAATGGGCAGAGCCAGGATTCAAACACAGACATTACGCTTTCAGAGCATGTGCTCACGGCCATAATACCACATGTCCACAGGACAGCTGAGCTGCAGCAAGGACATGTAAGGGGGGAGGTGACTTAGAGGGGACAGCAGAGGTCTCCCTGGGGAGGCGACCGTGGCCTGAGAACCAAAAGATGAGGCTGGAAAGAGAAGGGGCTTTAGCTCCCAACAGGCCAGGTTAGAATACACCACTGGGGGAGGGGTTGGGGTGGTAAGAAGGAGGCAGGCCAGCTAAGCTTAGGTTTGGGCCTTACTTAGGTGGCTTGGTGGTGCCACCATCCAAACAGCAACATTTTTTACAGGCCCTGGGCACTTTTGCCATCCTGGACCCCTGTGTCTATTATAAAACATTAAAAATATTTTTAAATGATCTATTGAGTTGTCGGAAAAGTCATAACGTGTTTTTTCTGTTTTTCGTTGCAAAAATGCGTCATGACTTTTCCGACAACCCAATATTCTAGCTTCATTGATAAAAAGACAAAAATAATACAAGTTTGATTCAATTTTTTTCTTCGGATTTTAAGAGAAATTAAAACACTTTGCTGGGCCCCTAAAAGTCTTGTGAGCCCTGGGCCGTGTGCCTGCTGGGCCTGGAGGAAAAGACAGCTGTGGGTCCAAATACTGCTGTGTGACCTCAGGCAAGCCTTTGCCCTCTCTGAGCTAGGAAGCCAGGGGGATTCAGGGGATAGCATAAATAAGCCTACAAGACACAGAGGAGGTGCCCGTTCTCTGCAGCTCCCTCCTTGTTGCGTCTTCTGCAACAGCAGGGTGGGCTGATGGAAAAGGGCCTTGAATTGCACAATCAGCCTTAAGAACCTCACAGCCAAGCTCTGCTCCAGGCTGTGAATGAAAACAGATGTCCCCTGCGCCGCCTAGTTCTTGGAGAGCCAGACCCTGACCTCACTTCACCCCGCCATCCTGTCACTGACCTCCACTCCGTGTCCGTCTCCCCCTTAACTCACAGTTGATGTCTTCCCGACCAGGGAACTCCCAGCTTCTCTCTCCAACTCCGAACTCCAACGAGCCTGCTGGCCTCCTCCCTGCCTGACAGTGACCAGTGACCAGTCCAGGCCAATTCCCCAGGAAACTGACGCCTCAGCTCTGGCCAATGGGTTGAAAAGTCAGGTTTGAAGATTGGCTTGGCTCTCGATCGCCTTCTCCCAGCTGAAGTCGGACCCGTCAGCAGACTCAGCTCCTTTTTAGTAGCGGGGCCAGACCTTTACTGGGCTTATCTTGTTTTATTTTCCCCAGGACCTGGACCCACCCCTAACGTAATGTTTGCACTAGGGCCACTTGTTTTCGTTTTATTCCCCCAAAGCAAATCTGATGGTGAAAGCCCTCCCTGTCCCACCTCTCAAGCTGAAAACCTTGCCTGGGCCCTGTTAGGACAAAGATAAAAATACCAGCCCCGCAGGCCTTGCAGGCCAGCCCAGTCTCTCTCAACCAGGCTGCACTGTTAGCACCACTTTTAGGAGGAGTTTCAACAACATCCACACCAGAGCACATAAATCTGATGGAATGAATCAGAACCCAGATCAATGAAATCAGACTCAGTTGTTTGCAAAGTTCCCCAGCTGATTCTAATGCGCATCCAGGGCCAGGAGCTGTAACAAATTTGGCTTCTCCCCCAGCCCCCACTCCCACCCCCACCTCCGGGCCTCATATCTCCCCAGCTCCCTCTCCCTGCTGCAGCATGCTGGCCTCACCCATGCGCACACTCACCATGCACCCTTTGCCATGAGACCTCTGCATATCCTGTTCCCTCTCGCTGGCACTGTTCCCCGTTTTCTTTGCTGAGTGAACTTGTGAAGGCTTCCTCACATCTCAGCTCTCAGCAAAACAGCCAGCCCCTTCCTCCCAGAAACATTCCCTGTTCTCCAAATCAGCTCATTTCGCCTAGACCAGGCTTTCATGGCCCCGTGCACTTCCACTGGATAGGATCCACACAACACGGCGGCGGGAGTGACATTTTTTTCTGACAATGCCTATCTCTCCCAATAGATGGTAAGCACTCTTCATTGTTTTTGGTTTTTTTCTTTCTCACCTGTTATGCACCTGGCACATAGTAGGAGCTCAGTGACATTCACTGAATGGCTAAATGGATGCTCCGACTTGCCCCACCAGAGCTCTTACTCAGATGACTTTGCTAGACCTTCCTAATGCCAGCCAGTGACCCTAGAGTCACCTACTGCCTGGCACCAAGTCCCCTGACCTGGTTGGACTGACACAAGCATCTGCAGCAGCACCTGTACCTGCAGTGTTGTCACCTCACAGCCACACCTGTGCTAGACAGCATCCTAGGGGCTGGAAATACACCAAGCTCCTCTCTGCCAGCATGCTGTACCCAAGGGCTTCTCCTCAGCCCCCTTGACACTTGGGGCTGGATCACCCTCCGTTGTGGGGCATCCTGTTCACTATAGGATGTTTAGAAGCACCCATGGTCTCTACCCACTAGATGCCAGTAGTGTTCTCCCACATGCCTACCCCACCAGTTGTGACAAAGAAAAAAACCTCTCCAGATATTACCATATGTTCCACAGTCAAGGGCAAAATTGTCCCCCAGTTGAGAATGCCTGCATTACAGTCATAGAGCTGACCATCTTATAGTAAAATAGAGTGGAATCAGGATGTTGGTAGTTATTGTTAAGCTGTCCATCTATGTTACATGCACTTTTCTGTATGTATATTATAACACACACACACACACACACACACACACACACACACACGAGTTAAAAGAAAAGAGCAAAACCATCAGACTGGCATAAACTCTGCCGGGAAGCATGAACCCGAGGTTAAGGGCTGGGGAGTCTAAGTTCCATTCCTTCGTGTGGGTGATGGTAGGGAATTAATATCTTCCCAAGGTCTCCGCTCCTCGTCAGTAAAGTGGAGACTACAGCAGCCCCTTGATCACAGGGTTACTGAGCTCACACTGGGGTGCAAGTGTGACTTATCATTAATATCACCAACATAACTCCAATACCCAGTTCTGAAGACATTGTAATAGTTAGAAAGAACTGCCATTCAAAACAGAACAGGCAATGAGCAAGTAAGGCGAAAGATAACCCATTGGTGGATTTGGGTAAAGAGTGTATCAAAGCTTTCTGGAGTGTTTTCACGATATTTCTCACTTTGAATTACATCAAAATAAAGAGGTGTAAAAAATTAAAAGGGCAGGGCCGGCCGAGTGGCGCGATGGTTAAGAACTGGCTTGGGACGCCAGAGGGCCCCTGTTCGGATCCCACATGAGGGCCAGTGACACTGCCCTCCACAGCTAAGATGGTGAACAACAGCTCAACCTAGAGCTGGGCAGCCGTGAGTCACTGGCGACGGCGGAGGCTGCAGCCCCTGTGGCAGTGGGTTGCCATGGGCTGCCATGTGTAGCCAGCAGCCAGCGTGAGCGGCCAGCAGCCGTGGTGAGCGGCTGTCCAGAAGCCGGCGACTGATCTGCCTTGCCCGGGAAGAGCGCAATGATGGTGCCAACTTGGGCCAGTGAAGCAACGTCCTCCACAACTAGACTGAAGAACAAAAAACGACAGCAACTTGTCTGTTCCCCTTCCCCCAATTCCCCAGCACTGTTCCCATCCCCCCAATTCCCCAATTTAAAAAAAATCTAAAAAAAAAATTAAAAGGGCAGAATATTAAAGAATTCGTGCAGCTCAACAACAAAAAGACAAGCAGCTCAATTTAAAAATGGGCAAAAGACTTGAATAGGCATTTCAAGAAGATATACAGATGATCAACAAGCATGTGAAAAGATGCTCAACATCACAGTCGTTACAGAAATGCAAATTAAAACCCCAATGAGATAGCACCTCCAACCCACTAGAGTGGCTAGAATTAAAACCAACAAACAAAAATAACCCAGAAAATAACAAGGCTTGGTGAGGATGTGAAAAAAATCGAACCCATGTGCACTGCCGGTAGGAATGTATAATGGGACCTCCTCTGTGGAAAACATTCAGGCAGCTCCTCAAATATTTATAGAATTACCACATGACCCAGCAATTTCACTCCTAGGTAGCCACCAAAAAAATTGAAAACACGTGCTTAATTAAAAATGTGTAGTCAAATGTTCACAGCAGCACTATTTACAATAGCCCCAAAGTGGAAACACCCAAATGTCCATCAACAGATGAACAGATCAACAGATTCTGGTTGAGCCATGAGAAGGAATATTATTCAGGCAATAAAAAGGAATGAAAAACGAACTCATGCCACAACATGGATGAACCTCAAAAACATCAGACACACAGGAAAAGTCCAGGGCGGGCAAATCCATAGAGACAGAAAGTAGATGAGAGGTTTCAGGGGAGTAAGGGAAAGGGGAATGACTGCTAATGAGTACGAGGTTTCCTTTGGGGGTGATGAAAATATTCTAGAACTAGACAATAGTGGTGGTTGCACAACTCTGTGAATATACTAAATGCCACTGAACTGAACATTTAAAAACGTTGTGGAGGGCGCACCTCAGTGGCCCATGTGGGAATTGAACTGGCAACCTTGGTGTTATGAGCACTGCGCTCTAACCACCTGAGCTAACCGGCTGCCCCCTGCACTAGGAATTTTACATAGGTCTCTCCTTAATCTTCAGACTAGCCCTTTGAGGCAGCTACTATAATATTACCCCACTTAACCGAAGAGGAAACAGATATCTGAGAGGGGAAGACACTGGCTTGATTCCAACTGGCAGGACCAGGATGTGAACGCAGGTCTGCGGTGGCTCTTGGCCAGCCTGCCTCCTGGGGGAGCGATGGTGTAGCCGGGCAGGAAAGCAGCCTCAGCTTCAGCTGAGCCATTGTTCTCTGCGAACGTTCATCATCCCCTAAGAGCTGAGGACGCTGATCTGCCTCCTGGCCCACAGGCCCTCAGGGCCCACAGCCCACCCAAGAGAAACTGTGAACCCGATTGGGTCCCATCCGATTGTGGGGACACCATTGTCTCAACCCACAGGATAATTCCACGGGAGCCCTTCCTTCTTCCTTCCTGGCAGACAAGGACCCAGGCAGGGCACTTGGCCGAGGGTGGTCAACGGGGACAGCAGGACACTCTGAGCTTCCTGCTGACCTTCCTGGCAGGGGCCTCGCAGAACACTTTGCCTTGGCAGGAGTTTAAAGAGAGAGAAAGAAAGAAACTTTGGCCCTTATTATGCAGTGCCTGGTGCACATAAATCTATCACTTGGCAAAAACCAGCTGTCTCCTCATAAATCACACTGTGACGGGCACATGAATTAAGACAGTGATTTCTGCCTGGATGGGCCTGTAGGGTCACAGCCCGGGTGGGTGGGTCAGAAAGGTGACAACCCCACTGCTCAGGTCCACTCTCCTACCCTCCTCTTCATCTATCCCTCAAGAATCTGCCCCCCAATACTTTTCTAACTTTTATTTATTTTTCTTATTACAGAGGCATAGGATTTGTGTCAGCAGGAACACAGAAACAATGATGGGTATTTAAAGTAAAGGGGATTAAAGCAGGGACTTGGTTATTCAGGCTACAGAAAGGCTGACAAACCAAGCAAGGGAGAGTGAGGTGACCCAGAGATGAACAATAGCAAGAAGCTGCTGCCCTGGCCCCAAGGTGGGGGGACAAAGCAAGGGGATGGTGTTTTTCAGGTCCACGATCTGGGGTCACCCAGAAGAAACTGAACCACAGGAAGGCTGCTTGGTGACGCTGAAGCCACAGGGAGACACAGCCACCGGTCGAGTCCCTGTCCAAGGCACAGAAATTGGGGAGACACCCTGGCTTCTCCCCTCTCCCTGCCCTCCAGCCTTCCACCAGGGCCTCCCACTGGGCAAGTGCCTATAAGTCAAGATGACCTGCAGTGGCTGCTGCCTTTCAAGGTGT